AATGAGTGGTAAGAGGGGATTTCCGAGGGGTCCACCGAGCCGGCTCCTCCACTAAAAGCCGAGATTGTCTCGAGCTTTTCCCTACAATTTAGATTGCTCAATTCGCCAGAAAACCAGATGAGCTAATCGCCGGTTGGGCTGCTCCGACTTTAGACTACTGGGCCAACTTTGACTTTAGATTTTTAATTAAGATAATTATAGTTGGTCGGAGCAACTAAGATAGCGAGTTGGCTGGGAAAAGAGTGCAGACATCCATGGATGGTTCCACAAATGAGTCGAAACATTTGTTTCGCTTCCTGCGCCCAGCGTTTTGGTTTCGATTTTTTGGTGTCCCAAATGTCAGTCCGTCAAATATTTGTGGGTCGAGCGAGTATTCCGTTTTTTTGCTTATAAATAAACACAGACGTCAATTAGTTAATATGCTTTTAAAAAGGAACCGCCGCACAGTATTTTCAGTATTCCGACTGTGACTAAAACCAAGCACATGACAAAAAAGAAATCACAGATAGAAAGAACCATATAATAATCACGTTTTTTTCGGTCAAGTACAGTACGGTTCGAGAATTTCCGCAAGCGCTTGCAATTTTTGTGGGTTTTTTTTTGTTGGTCGGTTAACCTATTATACAACAAATACCAGCGGTGCACAGAAAAATGAGTATCAAATCAAATTCGTTTGAAGAAGCACTCACACACACACTGATATGCCACACCAACACTTTGAAGCGGGGGAACAATATATGGCATACATAATATTAAAGAAATCGCACCCAAAAACCAAATTGGCATAAACTACGCCGAAAATAAATTGAAATCTAAAAATGAAATTCAAATGCGGCAAACGCCCCAAGAGGAGCAGTCCACGAAGCAACACAAAAACACAACAAACAAATCAAAATCAAAATAAAGCACACAAAAAGCGCAAGCGAAATCAAATAAAAAACACAACAATGTGGATAAGTGGATGTGTGGAGGAAATAGGGAACCCAATATCAAAATATCCAGCTATGTCAATCGCACTTCCATGTTTAGAAGTCTTCGGCGAATTCCAGGAAACGAGTTACTCATAGAATTCAAAGATACTTTAGTTGATCGAGGAATGCTGAGCAATGAAAAATACCAGAAACCCTAAAACTAACCTTCAGTTAAACTTACAAGTAAGCTTTATTCATATAAAAGAGATCTTGGGAATTTAAAGAAACTAATTATAAACAAAAATCAAAAATACACCTGGTTGATTGAGAAATGCAGAGCAAGGATGAATATCTAAAACTTCAAATTTAAACCTCAGTTAAAATTACAAATAAAATTTATTCATATAAAAGAGATTTCGGGAATTTCTAGAAATGAATTATAAATATAGTTCAAACATATTTCAGTTGATTAGGAAATGCTGAACAAGGAAAAATATCTGAAACTTTAAATGTAACCCTCAGTTAAAATTATAAATAAAATTTATTCCTATAAAAGATATTTCAGGAATTAGCAGAAATCGAATTAGAATTAGAAATTCAACGATTGAGAAATGCTGAATAGAAAATAAGAGCTAAGACTTAAAATTAAACCTTCAGTTAAAATAAAAAAAGATGATTGTGGGGACTTCCAGAAAAAATAATATATACAATTTAAAGGTACTATAGTTGATTAAGAAATTCTGAATAAGAATAAGAGCTGAAACTTAAAATATAATCTACAGTTAAAATAAACAATCTATTTGTATTTAATTTTTACTGATTTATAAAAAAGACAAACTATTTCATTAAGATCACTTAAACCTTTTTAAAAAGTTTAGATTTTCAATAATATTCATATATTATATATATTATTCATATTAATGAATAAAAAAAGAGCTGAAACTCATAATTTAATCTTTAGTTACAATTACAACCTTTAGTTATTTAAGTTTTATTTATTTTGCAAAAAGAAAAAAATAAAACACTTTCAAAAATGTTTGGGTTTCCAACCTTATAAACCATGCGTAGCCAACTGTAATGAGTTTGATTCCCAAGAATTTCAAGATGGCAACAATTTTTTAACTACTATTTAAATAGCAGTTAAGAGACCTTCAACACATTTGCGCAAGACTTCAAAAAGAAATTAAAATTATAGCAAAACTCGTGCAGCGGTACGTACAGACACAAAAAATACAGAAAAAACTACGATAAAAGACAAAATGAGGCGTACAGAAACCAGTTTACCTGGAAAGCAACAAAAATTGGTCTGATATTGTACGTAAGCAGTAATTGAAGTTAACGTAATTATAAACGTAGTCCCGGCCAACAAGAATCATGTGCAACACATACAAAACAAAACACAAAAAAAACGGAGGAACAACAGCGACTCCAAGTGGAATAAAAAATGTCTTATATACACGACTACGATTTCAAGTGAAGAGAACGAATGCATCCAAATTGCGAGCTCTGGTCAAGCTTAATTTCCCAATTAACATGAAAAACTTCAAAGGGACAAATTCATTTACGCTTCACAGCAACTTCGGCGCGAGAAAAACGTAAGTCCAAAAACGTGCGACTCGGAGTTTTCCCCCAGAGAATGGGAGAATCGGATCCGGAATCGGAGAAGTGGAGAATTGGAGACAACCCCCAAGGTTTCGAGGACATTGACGCTAAGGTTAGCCATATATCAACAGTAGCACATATGCAATCTTCATATCCGTGTTTTATAAGTATACAAACTGATAAGAAACACTTTCCGAACAAGTTAGGAGGTTTTCCAGATCTAAAGTAAGCTGTATCATCTTTAGATCCATTACAAATTTTTTATGGTAGAACTTTATAAAAATTTAATACCAAATATATTTTTTTTAGCTTACCTAAAATTAGTTTCTCGCTAAAATGACAACTATTTAAGATCTCAGTCACTCTATACTTCACCTAATGTTCTAATCATTATAGCACGACCGAATCTACTTAAGCGTATCATTTTTTTCCAGGTCCCAATTTATTACAATCAATTTCAAAGCTATTAGGAATACATTTGCCATGCCCTGTTCCGCTAAAGGTCTAGTTCTCTGCCTAATCTACTAAAATTTATTTTAATTTCTGTATGTATTTCGCTCTATACGCGTTCTTCTCCATTTCTCTCCCGGTTTCTCACATACTCTCTGTCTCTGTGGGCCCAGGGCTGTCTTATCAGCCGTTTTCAGTTTTCAAAACAAAGTCCATTTCCATTGTTGGTTGGTCACTGCTCATGTGTGTTTCGGTTTCGCGACTCTACTGTACAGTAGAGACATCATTTAAAATGCCATTATCTAATCGCCGCTTTACGACCATCGTGTGTGTGTGGTTCTCCGATGGTTTTGGTTTTGGTTTCGGTTTTTGTGAGTGGTTGGGGCATCGGCGATAAGCCTAAGCGCAGCATTTTGTTAGTTATTCTTCCTCATACTTTATTAAATTATGAGCGGCAAAGATTAACTTGAGGGGCCCCCGAAAAAAAAGCATATACAATCCGAAACTGAAAGAACGCACAAAGCAAAAACTATGAGATAATGTGGCATGTTTGAGGTGTTCGCTGTTTATTTTTTGTAATTTTTGTGTAGAACCGCCAAACAGGCAAACTGGTTTAACCTGTCCCAAAAACACAGAAAAAAAAAAACCAATTTGCCGACAGCCAGTTAATAGCTAAACACAAAAAACACCAAGTCTAGCAACAATAAACTAATTAAATCAAACCGAAATACGTCGCAAATTGTTCTAAGAGCTCGCTCTTCTCGCTTGTAAGAGAGTGATTAGTAAAAATAGCTGAGAATTTTCATTGAAGGTATAAATAAAATGTTCTCAAAATAAATATTTCAATATCATATGCAAAACTCGGGCGCTTTTGGCGCTGATAAAAAACCCCCAACACAAATGTATCTGTGAGATACGTACATATGTAGCGCCAAAAGAGCGAGCAAGAGTTAAGAACCACGAACGATAAAAAGAGTAGGAGCAGAAAATAAACCTTTTCGATTCGTGTGAGCCGATTTTTAGTCGGTTTTCTCAGCTCCCCGGTGATATGATATGGTATTTCTTATGGGTTTCGGTTGTCGGTTTGGGGTACAGAGTTTTTGGGGTTTGTTTGCCGCGGAGAGATCGCACCGACCGAGAATGAATGACAAACACATGAGGCAGTTTACAATGTTTGCTCGGGTATTAGCAAAAGAATTCTAACTGAACCGAGCAGCGCGACTCGACTCACGTTTTCTTATGTAATAGGTAGGCCTCCGCCGACCGACGGACTGTGTTTGCCCGCACCTCCATACTTCTGTGCTCTTAGATTACTGCTTCTATCAGCCATCAACTGTTCGAACCGGAGTTCTGATAAGTTCCCTTGCAAAAGGCGATCATGACGAAAGGTTGGGAAACTCGAATGGACAATGGATGGGACATCCAAGGAAGTAATCGCAGTGGATGAGTCAGCAAAGAAATAAGAAATACGTTGAAACAATGTTATTTCAACAGACTTTTAGATTTTTTTTTCAATTTTTACTAAGCAGAGTTTGACTACTTTGAGAACTTTATCGTCTAGGATTTGGAATCATTCCCTTGTGTAGCTTTTAATATTTGAGTTCTAACTTTGAAAATTATTAAACAAGAAAATGTGATATTTAGTAATTTGATTAAAAAATATATTTCTCCAACTCAATTTAAAAAAATTCTCTCCAAACAACAAATCGAGTTTTCCAATTTTTACTAAGCAGAGTTTGACTACTTTGAGAACTTTATCGTCTAGGAATTGGTTTCATTCTTTTAAGTATATTTTAATATTTCTGTTCCAATTTTGGATCCTATAAATCAAAAACTTTTGAGATTTAGTAGTTTGATTAAAAATCATATTGCTCCAACTCAATGATTTATAAATATCTTCAAAATACAAATCTGAAAATAGCTCTATACTCAGTATTTCTTCCATTTATTTTAATTCCGTTTTATTTTTAAAGCCCCACCATATCTAAATTACTAAATTTCTTAAAATAAATTTTAAGTATTAAATATCAATAGTACCTTTAAGTTACTGATTTACGTTGCAAACTGTTGATCAAACCTTTTTCGTCGACTTCAATCCCATAGATAACAATCTACAATAAATGCGTTAATCCATGTTTGCTTAGTTTGTTAGGCGGCATTATGTGTGATAATTATTGAATACATAATTTGATTTTGCACATTGATTTGCACTTTTTTTCGTGTATTATTTACTTTGAATACCGTGAGGCAGCGTGTGGCCAAACAATTGAATAATTTGCGTGGTTAACTGTAAATCGCTTTCTTGTTTTCTTTTTATATTACTTTTTTTTTACTTTGTATACAACTTTGCAAAGTGAAACCGTTGTGTGTATATAAATATATCTTTTAAATCAATTTGTTTTTTATCTTCTCTTTTTTTATGTATTTTTTTAAAAATATTTTTCAATGATTTTGCCAAGGCTAGCTTGATTTTATTTATGGTTTTTTATTTGTATTTGTATTTATTTTGCACAAAATATATACACCAAGATCTTGGGGAAATCATATAGTATTTTGTCGGAGAAACTGTTTTTGGGGAGGGCGAGAGGAGAGGATGTAAAACTATTAATATTGCGTGTGGTGGTGGAGATCTTTTGTATTTTGAATTTTCCAAAAAGTGGGCAATTAAAATTCACACTGAGCGAAACGCAATGGAAACGGAACAAAATATAAATAAAGATACGCAAGCGAAAAGCGACTAAATTATGAAACCCGAAAGCGGCAAGGCGACACGAGAGCAAAAAAAAAACGAAAAGAGAGAGCCAGCGAGCGCGAAAGAGAGTGCGGAACGTTTCGGCAGTGGAACGCCATACAAAAATTCCGCAACGAAACGAGGAAAATTTTTACCAAACCCCTAATTGTTAACAACAAAAAAAAAACAACGGGAAAACCTAAGCTGATTATCAGATTTATGTAGTTTTTTTCGTCTTTGATAATTGTCGTGTATCTGCAAGATACTTTTTGATTTTTTGCAAAGGGAGCGACGAAAGACACGCACTCACACACACGCACGCACACGTAAACACACACGCGCACTTTGCTTTGCTTCTTTTGATTTCTTTCTTTTTGGGCTGCGCCAACTTTTCCTCTTCGTTTTCTGCGTTTTCTACGTTTTCAACGCACTTTTGTACGACTATAACTTTCAGTTGATCTTTATTCTTGGTGAAACGTGAGTTAAAAGGTAAATAAAGTCGGGGCAGACACGCACGGCGAAGAGAGACGGGCTGGAGAGAGAGCGAGAGAGAGAGACACGTCGACAGTGGACAAAAACGAACGGCAGCGAACAGTGTGAACCTCACCAAACGAAATACAAACTCGAACTGAAATGCATCTCACGGATACGCATATCCATATCCACCAGCTGTGTGACGTGCTCGCGCTCTCTTGGGCCACTCTCTTAGCGCTCTCTTCGCCCTGTGTCAAGTGTCAAGATGGGAGACGTTCGCCTTGCTCTATTGCTGGCCTCTTCACACCGCCGACTGGGGGTGGCCCCATTAGAGCGGGACAGCTGGCTGGGCCCCGTGCCCGCTGGCCACTCTCTTTGGCGCTCTCTCCGCTCTCCCAAGTGCCGGCATTTTCGCTTGGCTCCCCACCACACACAAAACACAAACAAACACAACAGCAAAGCCAAAAGAGACTTTGTTTTTAATGGCGGCTTGGCGAAAAAAAAAGCACAGAACAAACCCAGTTTTCGAATATTTAAAAACAAGGTTTGAAATTATCAAATCCTACTGCAATCCAGATTTATTTAGTGCTGCTTTACTATTTTAAAATAATTGATAAGCAAAATAAGTCACAAAAATAAGTTTTCGACTAAATTCCAATAAGATTTTTATGGGAAAACACCATTTCTGTTTTCAAATTGAAATATTTTTATTTCTAAATTTTTTTTTGTATAAAATTAGTATATATAAGTAAAAAAAATGTAAAACTGAAAACTTTATCAAAAAACAAAACAAATTTTAGATTTTATGTTTTTTGTTGTATCATTGGTTTAACAAGAATATTATTATTAACCGCGTTATCTAAAACACTATTGTTGGGGGCTATTTTGCTTGGAAAACAGGAATGAATCAGTTTGGTTTGGAAATTAAGACATTTTTTAAAAAGTCGGTCTTCTGAAAATTTGGTTGAGATTTTTGAAAAGAGTTCCGGTACTTTTCCTTTAAATACAGTAAGATAATATATGTATCTTTGGGATAGCCATAAGCCTTAGTTACTAGCACTTTACATTGTAAGCCCACTTTAAATAAATAAATAAATAAATTTTCGGGAAGTGTAGATCTAGACTTTATTTTTTTTCGAAATATTTAGATTTTTTAAGACCTAAAAATAAAGGTAAAAATCGAGCTAGAACATTTATAAAAGCAGGTTTAAGTTCGTTGCAATAGGTAACTCATACAATTATTGCATATTAGTGCATATCTTAGGTGTAAATATAAAAAAAATTGTTATCTTGAGAGGTATTTGTTGAATGGTTTTGGCGGTATAATAAGTTTTGCCATTGTCGGTTTTGAAATCATCATTTGAAGATTTGTTTTGAAAATTCATACTTTTAATTGGTAGATCCCCAACAGGAAATCAAGAAAAACAAATTGATTTTTATGTTGATAAAAGGCATTTAGGGGGCTAGAAAATTCTTATGCGTAAGCGTACTGCATTACCATATTAAATTCTAATAAAAAGAATATTTTTTTGTGAAAATTCATTTAAGCAACACAAGAAACACAACATTTTGATGACGAAACACATGTTGTGTTTGGGGGCTCAGCAAAAAGAAGAGACCCCAGAGCTGCGGAAAAGAGCCATTTGTGCCCTCTCAGTTGTAGCTTTGTAGCCGGGGCAAAACGCAAAATAAAATTAAGCACAAAAATAAACAGAAAAAGATGGAAAAGCTCTCTGCGGAACCTCGTCTACGACGCTGTCGCCTTCAATTTCAATAGCAGCCACTGCTAGAGAGCTGTTCCTACACAAATACCCATATAGATAGCTCTGGGACTGCGACTACGTATATCTGCACCAACGAGCGTATATATATTGCAGCTACTTAGCTACTTTTTATGGCAATTTTTGTTGATTCTTGTGACTTAGTTTTATTTTATAAAAATTACTTTTACCGCCTACATAGGCTTGATCATATATGAGATACCTCCAGTATGAATACCGCTTGAGGATGTATCTTTATCTTTTATTTCTCTATCTTTATTTATGTATCTTTAATATTTTAATTTTCTAGTCAATTAAGAAATCATGTTAATGGAATTTAGATATATTTTAATTAATTTCCGAAAACTTTATCACACTCAACATTTTTTAAACCATCATGCTTTCTGTATAAACATTATATTTTTAATAAGATACTCTCTGTAAGTTCAATAAATAGTTTACTTGATAATATTAAATTACTATAAATTTAATTAACAAATTGGCTTTTAGAATATAATATAGTCAAAGCTCGAATAATAATGGTGATAAAACAGAAACTTTCTATTACTTTTATATTTTTTTATCAAAGTCATACAGCAATGATCATTTTAGATAAGTTAACATAGATATTTTGACTTAACTTGATAAGGATTAGAACAAAGTCATTCAAGTATTTGTTATCTTACTTTTAAGAAAGCCTTTTTATTGTTATTATGATCAAGATACTGCTTTCTAACGTACAACCACTTTTATTTCTTATTTTTTAATGAACAAAATGCTGCCAGAACTGAAAACTGGAGTTAACTGCCCTTGCCAATGACATCATTATAAGATTTTTTGTCCATTCCCTAGCTCCAACGTTCTAGAAATTAAGCCAAGTATGTACGTACAATCCCGCCAAGAACTTGCCAAGCCAATTTAAGATTCTTCCCTGAATGTGCCCCCTTGAAAAAACCCTTCTGAGCTTCTGCCGTTAACTCTTTTTTGTCAACACTTGAGGTTTTCTTTGGATTTTTCCGAGCCGTAATTATGCATGACAATTGTACATTTTGTGTTTGGCGGGCCCTCCTAATGTTGTTGATAATTTTATGCACATAATGGCCAACAACACCAGCAGTTGCCAAACTGCCAGCTACATGAAGAGGTACTTTAACTGCTGACTGTTTAAAAACTTTAAGTTTGCCATTTTCTTTATGTCTACGTTGGCTGTTTTTTTTCGTTAATGTGGCCAACAATTAGATACAAAATGACTCAAAATAATAATGATAGAGGAAAAACATTTGACACTTGATGACCACCCAGCTACTTGAACTGATCCTCTGACGAGTTTTCATTATAACTTTGGTGAATTTTATCCACAGTTTGGCTGTAAATTTGAGCTCACTTTTACCTGAGCCAAATGGCTAGAAAAAAAAGCAAGCAGCCCAAAAAGTGAATTTGAAAAAAGCAATTATAAATCCGGCGATGAAGCCGCGAATTGTTAGAGCGCGGCATAAGGCAAACTCTAAAAATAAAAATCAAAACCAGTAGTTGCCAACGTGACGCCATAAATTTCAGTGTGCAGACGATCCCCCTCAGCCGCCCACTGTTTTGGTTTTATTTTGACCCCCCAAAATCCCCCAACCCCTCTTCATTTTGCCACGCTAGACCAACAGAAATTAAAATCAAAGCCGGGAACCCAAAAACGAAGGCGTTTGGCCAAACTTCGTGCGAAAATGATTGTGTTTCTATTTTTTGATTGTTTGTTTGCCAGGGCCTTTGCCTTGGATTTGTTTGCGGAAAACATTGAATGGACTTTTTCATGGTGTTTATACCCCATATGGACTGTGAAGAAAAAATCTAAATTTATCTATCTATTTGTTTAAAAAAATTAAAATTAGCAAAGCATTTTTAGAGCATTTAAAATGGGTAGCATTTGTTTATTATGAAAAAAGTTGGTTTAAAAAATACTTTAAAAAACAAACAATAATGAGATTATAGCAGATTAATATTCAAATTGTTAATTAATTAATTTTTTTAATTAGTCTTCAATTATTTTCTACGCGTTCTGTTAACTTTAAACTATAAAATATACGAAGCTAAACTAAAGGTGCTAGGAAATGGGCGGATATACGGGGATTATAGAACATAGATCCCCCACTCGTGTTAAAAATTTTATATAATATGTATTTTATGCCAAATATTGTATTTAAACTCCACACATTTTTTTTATATCTCCCAATTCAGGGTCCGCCACTGTGATAGGATGTCAACTAAATAAGTCTAAAAAGTTATCTGCAAAATGTTTTTTATTATTAATATTCTGTATTTATTTATTTTTTCGATTGTTCCTAACAAGCGTTTCGTATTCGTTCTGACAAAACTTCCCATTTGGTATATATTAAATATAAATCGATTTATATTTGCATAAATGCGTATTTGTCTAAATTTTAGTACACATGTTTGTTTCGATTTTTTTTTGGTTTTTATTACCCATCTTCCAGAGTTATATTTGGTTAATATTTTGTTCGTGCTGTTTGTTTAATATTGTGCATTTTGCATTTCTTCTACCTCGTATTTGCGGTGTTCGCTTTTTTCTCCGCTGGTGACTGCTCTCTTTATATTTAACATATCTATATATATGTTCCCTCCGACTCTGTTTTATTTGGATTCTATTTAATGCTGATGCCCACAATTCGACAGGTGTTGCAACCGTGAAAGATAGAAAAAAGACACGATTTTATTGTGCACTTTTCCCTGGTTTCTTTATTTTTAGCTTTACAAGTATTTTGCCCGCAGTTCATATATAGTATCAAATTAAAAGTTTCCATATGGCAGTTACTCATTTTAGATGGTGTTGCAGGTTCAAGGAGGTCTCCTGAAGAGCTCTTTAATTAGAGTTGAGGAAGAAATTCCCATTGCCAGCAGCAACCTACAACCTGCAACCTGCAACCTGCAGCGGCAAGTGCAACAGCAACATCTGAGCACGAGCGGCGACACGTGCTCTACATGTAAAATTGACAAGGTGAGTTGAAAGGTGGGTGGCAAGGAGGAGGGTTGAGTGTGAAATTCGCACCTGAAGAGGTGAGGTGGCTACTCTACGTGCTGGTGTTGTTGCTGTGTCTGCATTTATGGCATTTTTTATGAATGATGCAGCAGCAGCAGCAGCAACAACAGCAGCAACAGCAACATTTGGCGTTGATGAAGTGCTGAAAGGCAGCTGCAATGTCGAGTCCTTCCTCTTTGGCTCCCAGTTGTGTACGCTCTCTGCGCATTTGTTTATGAATTAATAAAATTTTAATTATGTTGCACAAATAATTGCTCACTTGTGCAGAAAAGCATGGAAAGCTGGCAAATAAGCGTCGAAATGGAAACCGAAAACAACACGATAAGTGTAAATAG